CAGCTGTACAGCAGAATCATGAGAGATGAACCTTCTTCCAGCTGTACAGCAGAATCATGAGCGATGAACCTAAGAGTCACACACTCCCTGTTCCATCTTTCCTGGGGTCTTTCTTCTCTATTGCCCCACAAAGGCTTAGGGAAAGGACTAGAAACCAGCGGACAACAGCAAACAGTAGCTCTCCCTTCTTTCTGTAAGGCTGTGCCTTAGCATCGATACAGATCTATCAGTCTTAATTTAAAATGGTGCTGTGAGAGCCTGCTGGCTGGCACCAAGGGGATTCAGTTTTTACTTTGAGGGACAACAAAATAATGGTCAAGTGTGGTGCCTTTTTTGCAGAAATTCAAATTGGTTAATTCCATTTGACCTCTTTCTGTGAATTGTCTTTTCATCCTAGATATACTGAATCAGAACCTACAGTTTAATATGATCACCTCTAAGATCTACAGTTGCATCTACAGCTTAGCAAAACACTATAAGGATCCGTTTAAAAAGATTCCCAGGTGTACATCAGTATCACCTGGGGATCTATAATGCTCACCTGAGGATATAAAACAATCATACAGGGCTCTTGTTAAAATGAAGATTCTGATTTAGTGAGATTGCAAGCCAAACCTAGAATAACTGGTTTTTTTTGTTAATTGTGTAGTTTATTTTCTGGGTTAAAACCATTACTGGCACATTTATAAATCAAGGGGAATAGCTATAGAAAGGTCGTAATGGTCACAAGTCTCTAGGTAACCATTCAAACTAACAAGACAAGTTCTCCACCAACTAAAACCAGGTGTATGCGCATGTACTATATAGAGTAATGAGATACAATTTCATGATCAGTAGATGGAATGTAGAAGAAATACATAACAATGGACATATGAGAATATAAATATTTTAGTAAGATTAGGTTGGCATTCACTGGGAGTATTTTTCTATTTTACCAATACTGTCCTTATTAACAAGGCACCATGGTGGTTCTGTGGGGTAGGTCTGGGGCTGCTAACTGGGGGTCTACAGTGCAAACCCACCTCGGTGGGAGACAGACATCTGTCTGCTTCTATAAAGAGAGCAGGGTTGCTGTGAGGAGGAATCAAATCAGGGATAATGGGTTTGGGTTGATTCTTTAGTAATTGGCCTCACAAATGAACTTGCCCACTTCTTAATCCATCAATAGTGTGAGCCTTGCCTCAGGCAGAAAAAAACACTACCTGAAAACCAGGTGACCATTG